ACCAGACGGCGTGTGTCAGTAGACACTGGCCTGATTGTGTCACCAGACGGCGTTGGACGGTAGGCACTGGTCTGATTGTGTGTCACCAGACGGCGTAGGACGGTAGGCACTGGTCTGATTGTGTGTCACCAGACGGCGTTGGACGGTAGGCACTGGTCTGTGTGTCACCAGACGGCGTTGGACGGTAGGCACTGGTCTGATTGTGTGTCACCAGACGGCGTAGGACGGTAGGCACTGGTCTGATTGTGTGTCACCAGACGGCGTGGGACGGTAGGCACTGGTCTGATTGTGTCACCAGACGGCGTAGGACGGTAGGCACTGGTCTGATTGTGTGTCACCAGACGGCGTAGGACGGTAGGCACTGGTCTGATTGTGTGTCACCAGACGGCGTTGGACGGTAGGCACTGGTCTGTGTGTCACCAGACGGCGTTGGACGGTAGGCACTGGTCTGTGTGTCACCAGACGGCGTTGGACGGTAGGCACTGGTCTGATTGTGTGTCACCAGACGGCGTAGGACGGTAGGCACTGGTCTGATTGTGTCACCAGACGGCGTAGGACGGTAGGCACTGGTCTGATTGTGTGTCACCAGACGGCGTAGGACGGTAGGCACTGGTCTGATTGTGTGTCACCAGACGGCGTTGGACGGTAGGCACTGGTCTGTGTGTCACCAGACGGCGTTGGACGGTAGGCACTGGTCTGATTGTGTGTCACCAGACGGCGTAGGACGGTAGGCACTGGTCTGATTGTGTGTCACCAGACGGCGTTGGACGGTAGGCACTGGTCTGTGTGTCACCAGACGGCGTTGGACGGTAGGCACTGGTCTGTGTGTCACCAGACGGCGTTGGACGGTAGGCACTGGTCTGATTGTGTGTCACCAGACGGCGTAGGACGGTAGGCACTGGTCTGATTGTGTCACCAGACGGCGTAGGACGGTAGGCACTGGTCTGATTGTGTGTCACCAGACGCCGTAGGACGGTAGACACTGGTCTGATTGTGTCACCAGACGGCGTGGGACGGTAGGCACTGGTCTGATTGTGTGTCACCAGACGGCGTGGGACGGTAGGCACTGGTCTGATTGTGTGTCACCAGACGGCTTTGGACGGTAGGCACTGGTCTGATTGTGTCACCAGACGGCGTTGGACGGTAGGCACTGGTCTGATTGTGTGTCACCAGACGGCGTGAGACGGTAGACACTGGCCTGATTGTGTCACCAGACGGCGTTGGACGGTAGGCACTGGTCTGATTGTGTGTCACCAGACGGCGTAGGACGGTAGGCACTGGTCTGATTGTGTGTCACCAGACGGCGTTGGACGGTAGGCACTGGTCTGATTGTGTCACCAGACGGCGTGTGTCAGTAGACACTGGCCTGATTGTGTCACCAGACGGCGTTGGACGGTAGGCACTGGTCTGATTGTGTGTCACCAGACGGCGTAGGACGGTAGGCACTGGTCTGATTGTGTGTCACCAGACGGCGTAGGACGGTAGGCACTGGTCTGATTGTGTGTCACCAGACGGCGTTGGACGGTAGGCACTGGTCTGATTGTGTGTCACCAGACGGCGTGGGACGGTAGGCACTGGTCTGATTGTGTCACCAGACGGCGTGTGTCAGTAGACACTGGCCTGATTGTGTCACCAGACGGCGTTGGACGGTAGGCACTGGTCTGATTGTGTGTCACCAGACGGCGTTGGACGGTAGGCACTGGTCTGATTGTGTGTCACCAGACGGCGTAGGACGGTAGGCACTGGTCTGATTGTGTGTCACCAGACGGCGTGGGACGGTAGGCACTGGTCTGATTGTGTCACCAGACGGCGTGTGTCAGTAGACACTGGCCTGATTGTGTCACCAGACGGCGTTGGACGGTAGGCACTGGTCTGATTGTGTGTCACCAGACGGCGTGGGACGTTAGGCACTGGTCTGATTGTGTCACCAGACGGCGTGTGTCAGTAGACACTGGCCTGATTGTGTCACCAGACGGCGTAGGACGGTAGGCACTGGTCTGATTGTGTGTCACCAGACGGCGTTGGACGGTAGGCACTGGTCTGATTGTGTGTTACCGTATCTAGACGACATGGGACGTTGCAGTTGGTCATTGGTTTGGCTGGACCAGAATCGATTATTGATATCGTTGGAAACTGCTGATTGTGGCGAATAAGCTCACTCCTTGCACTCATTCATTCTTCAATGGGGTAGTCCTGTGGTAATTACATCTGGTTGTTTCGCCTACGCTCGGTTCGAGTCTCATTGTAGGTAAACCCTGCTGCGTGCCTACTTTGCTATATTATTAACTGACGCACTCACTCATTGGGAGAAATGTACCAGTCCCCAAATGTGGCGCAACTGGCTGCGTGAAGTTGCGTCCCTTAGGCCTACCATAATCCTGAGATAGTGGGTTCGAATCCCTGAGTTATTCTTTTTATGACATCATAACCTTGCTCGTTGGTTTCACCAAAGTGGTAAACATCGAAGACCTGCATCACTTCGGTATTTCCTCCATTATGAATTAGCTGTCAAGCCAGCTGTGATATAACTTAAATACTTTTCCGGCGTTAAACCAAACTCACTCACTCCACGATACTACACAATGCATGCTATTCTAACATAGCAGAGAGTCGGACCCGGGACAAAGGCGTGACAAATGAACAGCCTGTGCTACAGACAGGATCGTTTCCACTCACATTGTGTTTTGGTCATCAGTGGCTTGGGGGCGGTCGGGTAGCCTAGTGGTTAAAGCGTTCGCTCGTCATGCCGAAGACCCGGGTTCGATTTTTTCCTGTCTAGGATCATAGGTCACTGCACACGCACTCATTCATTCATTGGTTTGAAAACACATTTCTTCCCTGAAAAATAATATTTAAAAAACTGTCACCGAACTGCTACATTTCTTCACAGGGCAGTATATATTCCAGTCACGTGTATTCACACGCCAGTCAGTGAATATGAATCACACGAGTATAGATTTATACCGCTGATTATAACCAGCATATGTGATAACAGGACCTGCACGACCACCCCTCGCTGTAGAATCTCGTGGTGTCTCAACGTCGGACATCATGGTGTATGTCGGACCCATCGCACGGTAATCACCCTTATTTTGACTCTTACAACCTCTCAGTAGGTACAGCTTGTTTGTTGAAACAAACTATACACCAAGTAGATTTAAACAAAATGTCATCATCACAATGAACACGTTCGTGTTGTATATATAAAGAATCGCGTGTTCTTTGTCTTTGTCTTATTTTGAGTAGTATACAAAGAAATATTACTCTGTATGTCCATTATTTGTACCGATCGGAAACACGGACTTTCAAAATGTCAACTTAGTGTTTGTACGATTTTCCAATTGATATGCATGACTGCATATGAACTTTTTTTTAAGTTAATTAATTGATTATTGATGTATCCTAGTTTTAAAAGATGCTGTTTTAGGTCCTGATCCGATTTACGTTTCTCTGTCTTGAATATACTTTAAAAAAGAAAGAAAGAATAAGACGATTCATGTCACGTTTTTAAAATATTTCCGTGCTCAACATTCGGAAAAGAACGTTTGCTTTGCTGTAATCATTGATGCTATTTTCGCGTTTACATTTATTACAAAAAATGAAGAACCATCATATTGCTGAAACCTTCCACTACCTGGGTACCTTCTTGCCCCTGTGTCATGTAGTGCTCAGCATCACTCAGACAAGAATCCCGACAATAAGACTGATCTACTCATTTATTTTGTATGTTACATATCCAGTGCCATATAAGGCGCCGTCCAGCAGAGTTACCAGCTAAAAATAGATTATTCGATCAATCGTCAGGAGAATCCGTCTCTTCAAATAAAATAGATGCCGTATACAACAAATAACCTGGTAATGTCCTCTTTGCAGCTCCTGACATTTTAGGGTAAGCCATGGGTACGCCCTGGATAGGCCTAGGATCAGAATACGCTGTGAATAGTGAACGAGATATTTGTGTAGATGCCACCCTCAGACGTCACATTTTGCGAATGCGGTCGACATTCTTTACTGTCAACATCACATAGTTATATAGCTGTGCCTGTGGCTACCATACAACCAGGTAGACTATACAAAGACCATGTAGTCTATATAGACCCCCTGATACAACATTTCAATTCCAGGGAAATATGATATTGTACCTTTAAATATAATTTGAAAGATGAATCAGGATTCTACTTGATTTAAACACTTTTTATTCACAAAAAGTGAATGGGATTGGGTACAAGTTCTCCAAGTTAGGACCCCTTCTTCCTTCTTTGATTCTACCTCATGCCTACTATAGTATTACCAACGTCCAAACAATTTTGAGACCTACATGTTGAAATATTAATGGGGAAATGGGCACCCTTCGATTGCACAACCCTTTTTTGGGGTACCCAGTCAGTCCACTAGATATAGAAATCTTTCCCTCAGCGAACACGTAAATGCTATATATGTTTGACTACTACTCAATCTGATAAGGGGCCCATGCCTGTGTCACCTCCCAAGTGTCACCCCCACCTGCCGAGCTATAGTAACCGTAGTTGTTTATGGGCCGACGACTGGGGTGGGGTGCTTTGCCGGGTGGGTGGATGTAGTCTCCTTCTGTTTTAACACCAAAACCCGTTATCTTCACAAGCTGATGTTCTAAAAAAGTGTGTTGTGAGTCAGTTGTTTGGCTACTCCTGACGCAGAGAAGAAAAATGTTTGTCTGAAGTGTTGACTGAAAAAATATTCTGTCTCAAACTAAAATCCAGACCGACAGAAGGATTCAAATAAATCACACATTAACTCGAGACCCCTGTTCAATGTGAGCAAACGTGTACCAAGTCTCCACAACTTGACCGCATTCCATACACTCGACCGGGGCTCCACGTATTAAGCATTTTAATTTGCTACAGTATATATATATTTTGTTATCTCTGTTTCGACATCGTTGCAAGCAGGTAATCGCACCACGGGTCGAAGTCCGGTCTGTGTATACAGGTGTACTGCGGTCAGATGGCCAGCGTGCTGTTTTTAACTAATGATTGTCATTTGTTGAATATGTTTTGGAGGGTTGGTAGGAAAACACGTCCCATGATTGTAAGAAGATATGCATTTCTTATAAATCCCATATTTCAAGTAAGGACAACGTGCATTAACATATAGTACTGACGCTGAGATAGAACGTTCTGCTGCCTGTTGACCGTGACACGGATGTGAACGTGCCTTGACAAGGGAGGTAACCACTGTTTTATTGTTATACATTGGTAATTAAGTTTTATATTGTGATCAGCTGCTGCACGAATTACAGGCGCTTGCACAGATCTAACGGACACACTTCTCCATCTCCAGATAATACTACATCAACGACAACCACTACTTCCACTACTGCATCCCTGAACAAATCCGCTTCACAAGTGGCTCAATCAACAACTAGGAAGGGGTTGACACATTTGACATTTACAACTTGAGGCATATTTATACGAGCGAACCGGGAAGTAAGACAAGATGGTGGACGTGGCGGCCATGTTGTCCTTAGTATTGGAGGTGATAGTGCTCACGGGGAAGTTGCTGTACTTTTGGCTGGAGGCGATGGTGCTGGCCGTCCTCCCTGTCAGCATACAGGGGAAAGACATTTCGGGGGAAACTGTCCTTATAACCGGCTCAGGTGGGTTATGTAACATTGATACGTCTATGGTCATATCATACTTTACGAAATGGCTTAGTCGTTTAAAGCTGTGTAGGGTTGCGTGAAGGGTTACGTTCCTGAGCCGTGTCAGATTTTCTCTTGGATCCCCGTGGGGGTGAGGTGAAAAGGGGTTTAACGTCGCGTCCAAGATTATTGCACTTATATATAGCGGTGTGTGTGTGTGTGTGTGTGTGTGTGTGTGTGTGTGTGTGTGGCTGCTTGTACTAGTCCGGACTGATGCCGATTAATAGTGCTAGCCCGCTGAGATAACATGCCACAGTTTAACATGAATACCCCACTCAGACACAGTATACTGACTCCTAGCCGATCAGTCCTTGTTTTAGCCCCTTAATGCCGAGCGCCAGACAGGGTAACAACAAGTACCATCTTTTAACGTCTTTTGGTATGACGCAGCGGGGATCGAACCACGGACTTTCCGCTCTCCGGGCGCCGCTCTACCACTAGACTACGGAGGCGGCTCTGGATCCCCGTGGGAGTCTGGATCTCTGAAACGCTGATGAGATATTGCATGCCCTTACATAGGTTGTCGAAATGTACGACGTGAGTGATGTTGTGATGTTTGTTGTTTAACGCCGCACTCAGCAATATTCCAGCTATATGACGGCGGACTGTAAATAATCGAGTCTGGACCAGACAATCCAGTGACTGACATCATGCATCGATCTACACAATTTGAATACGATGACATGCATCAACCAAGTCAGCGAGCCTGACCTCCCGATCCCGACAAGCATAACCGGCTCTAATGACAAGCATGGGTTGCTGAAGACCTATTCAACCCCGGGTCTTCACGGGAATACTCGTAATGGTCATCGCACAATGCCAGATTGGTGAACTTGCTGACCCGTGCATGGTCAGCGTGATATTACATATTAGTTGTTATAGTTGTTAATTCATTCGACATATTATTTTTCTATGTAAATGTAAATTGTAAAAAAGGATTAATGAAAAAGATGACCCCCAACACACCCACACCCAAACCCACTTTCCCTCAATCAACCGATGTATTATATCGCCATTCTATACTAGTTTATCCATTCGACGCCGATGCAGTTCTTACAATGTTTAGTGGTTTAATGGTGCTTACGTAAACAACATTTAGTGGTACGTCATTAAATATTAACAATCTTCATTAAACGTTTTCGGCATGCATCCTATTTTCACCGTGTTTCCGCAGGAAGTGGTATCGGTCGTCTGCTCGCCAAGCGTTTTGCCGACCGTAGTTGTCGTCTGGTGCTGTGGGATATCAACAAAGAAGCTAACGAGGAAACAGCGGCAGAAGTTCAGCGATTCGGAATCACCGTAAAAACATACACAGTGGATCTGTCGGATGCGAAACAGATATACCAGGCAGCCGAGAAGGTTGGATTTACTGTTTTATGGATTCATTGATCATGGAGAAAAAAATTATAAATACTTTCACTGAACAAAATGACACTGAACTCCTTTTTGACTTCCTCGATGACGAAAAGTAAGTGAAAATGTGGCTTTCCGTGCGCAATAACATCGAAATCTGATATCATGTCCTGATTAAGCGCATTTTCAGTCGGGAAAGATAGCTCACTGGTGAGATAACACCCAGATAAACTTGTTATTTCACAAGATGAACCAATAACCCATATTTGATTGTCAACCTTGAACTGGGACAAGGGCTGCTTTAGGCGCTGTGATTCGCTGTGATTCGCTGTGCAGAATTGTGTCCCTTTGGCGTGACAGAAGCCGATGATCGCGGATTCGAATAGAAGAATCGGATTGATTGTGTTTCTAGAAATGGCAGCTCTATAATTTCAGCAAAGTAGTAAACGTCTAAGATTTGCATTGCCCCCCCCCCCCCCCCCGGCACCCCCTAACATTCAGCTGATACGGCTGACAATATGAATACATATTTTTCGGAATAAATAGATTTGACTGTGTACGGGACCTGTTATCTTATTTATTGAAACAGACCGGGATGTTCTAGATCTAACTGTTTTGGCCTGTTTGTCTGCAGGTGAAACGTGAGATGGGGGATATTGACATCCTGGTGAACAATGCTGGGATAGTGACTGGCCGGAAGTTCATGCAGTGTCCAGACGAGATGGTTCAGAAGACAATGCAGGTCAACGTTCAGGCGCACTTCTGGGTCAGTTCCGGAAACTCTGGACACACTGCAAGGGGCGTTAGGGAACAGTTCAACAGTTCCATGTCGGATTAAATCTTAATGACTTAGGTTTAGAAGTGGTGGGTTAACAGAATGTTCAATCCTACAAAAAAGATTTTTCAGGGGATTTACAGTTTAAAAAAATAAAACACCGAAACCGTCATATTTAATCCAGAAAATATAAGACATCTCCATCGTAGGAAATAAAACCATTTGAATTAAACAAACCAGTTAACATGATGTGCTCGAAAGTTCTGCGAAGTAGGATTCGCTTGAAGATAGAATCTCTTTAAGGGTGTCAACCATGTTACAAATAAACTTTTTAGGGGTGTGGGTATGTCTCTAGACTGAAGGTATTATAGGTATTATAAGACATGTCATACCTTTGCTATCATAACGTTCGTGACACACATTCCGAGCAAATACGTCATAATCCAAGGGAGTTAAGCTCATAACCACTTTTTGATTGAAATCAATTTCTTGTAAAATAAATAAGTAAAAAATTTATGTACCCTGAAACTTTCTATCACTTTTTTATTATATTTTGCAAATTCGTAACATTTAGGTAAGAACTTGCCGGAAAAAATCAAAGCCGTTTTTGTGGGACATTTTGGTATATGGATATCGGTATGGTGGCCGAGAGAGGACATCGCTTTCTCGCTTTCTCGCTCTATCGCTTTATCGCTTTCTCGCTCTATCGCTCTATCGCTTTCTCGCTTTCTCGCTTTCTCGCGGTACAGCAATATTCCCTCTTGGCCACGATATGGGTCGCATGCGTCATGTGTTTCTTTAAGATAAAAAGTATATACGTAAAACAACATTAATGAATTGTCCTCATATGGACGGAGAATGTTGAAATTTTCTCACTATCTATTTAAATATAATTTAACAGTACAGACATATGTGCTTTTATAACAATCCACGTATTTCTGCGTAAAAAGAATTTGATTGATTTATGGCCCTATTTAGCTATTGGATCCCCCGCCCCCAGGGCATGTTATCGAAACAAATAGCAAATAACGCCGCTCAATAGCACTGAATAGTACGTACTTCCTAAAAGGCAATAGTGTTTTCCTAAAAACAACGCTTATATCAATGCTTATTCCGTTTGCGGAGTAGATGTCATCAAAGTGGAAGTCCTCACCCATGCAATGGTAATACTACCTGATGTTCATTATGTAATTTCTAGTTTTTGGATGACATATTGTTCTCAGTAACCGTAATGTGGAAATAGATAGTTGATTGGTTTTATATTCAAGTTGGTATTTCCGCTATTCAAAGTGTTCAGTGAGGTCGTCTTATCAACAGTCATTTCTGAGACATAAATGCAAAGTATAATTGCCGTATTCGACGTAATAAGCGCCCCGCTCTAATAAACGCCCACGGCGTTATTTGCTAATATAATGGCTAGTGAACAATCCCAGCACCCCTTCCGATTGATTAATGTACACAAGACTTATTTATTCGCGTATAATAAGCACTCGTTATATGCACACTTAATTATGGACAATTAAATTCGGGAAAAATATATCTGTCGTGCATAAACATTTCAGGCTGTCAGCATAAACCACGAAATTCATCTTTCAACTCAACTTTTTTTACACCAAAATAATATTCTAATTTTGAGAGCGCCCTGGGCGCTTTTTACGTCGAATGCGGTAATTAAGTCTACGCTAATTTGTTTGCATTTATTATTAACTCTAACGTTAATTTCAAGATTTACAGTACATACTATTCAAAAGTAGTTAAAGAACACCCGATTCCTTCATATGATTTTGGTTAGTCATTAGAGAAAGCGATAAAGCGATAAAGCGATAGAGCGATAAAGCGATAGAGCGAGAAAGCGATAAAGCGAGAAAGCGATAGAGCGAGAAAGTATAGAGCGAGAAAGCGATGTCCCCTCTCGGCCACCATATATCGGCGTTATGTGTGTATGTATTTGTATTAAGAATAGGTCCGCGGCAGCTTCCACAATAAAAAGTAAATGCCTTTTCTACATTACTGGATTCCATTGCAATTATATCTGTGAATGTTTAATGCAGGGACGCTTCCTCTGCATTAAGCCTAAACCCAGTATACTGTGTAATTGAGAGCTCCCACGACTGGCATTCATTAAGTTAGACAAGGGAGAGGTGGTTCTGGGGGTATCAGTGGGCCACCCACATCAGCTGTAAACACCAGTGGACAGAACAGGATCAACTGATAAAAAGAAGCCAGAATCTCGCCTGTCAGCCTTGTAGATTCGGACAGACCCTGGAGCTGAGGCAATCTTGACTTGCCAAACCATTCTAGACGTGTGTAGGGTGTATTTTTGTATTTATTCTCTAGGGACTAGTTGCGATATCTTATAGGTATACTTATCAGCTTTTACGTGTACTGCCCCACTTTACGTATGTCTTAGAAACCAGTGGTTTTCGATAGGAAAACTGAAGGAGTGCCTGGGTGCGATATCGCAGCTACGAGTAGTCCACTAATCGCTGACTTGGTTGATTATATATCGTCGTACCTCGACGGTGCTGCACGTGAGTGGTTTGTCTGACCCGGTTAATTACACGCTACCATGATATACAGTAAACTACGTTTATAGCGAACACGCTTATTACGAACTGACCTATATAACGAACTTAATTTTAGTCCTGCCATATGTTGTATATATGCTGTATATATGCTAAAAACGAACTGCGGTTATTACAAACTAAAATTAGTGGTCCCTTTGTGTTCGTTATAACCGTAGTTTACTGTACTTGGTAATATTGCTGAATGTGGCATTAAACTGTAAATAAACATGTTATTTCGGAACTATTTTTTCAGACGGCGAAAGCGTTCCTACCTTCCATGATGGACAGGAACCACGGCCACATCGTAAACATCGCAAGCTCCGCTGGACTACTTGGTGTGTCTGGTTTGGCAGATTATTGCGCCAGTAAATTTGCGGCAGTCGGGTTTGACGAGTCTCTTAAATACGAACTGGAGTCGTCAGGATTGACGGGTGTTCATACAACGGCAGTCTGCCCCTACCTCATAGACACCGGCATGTTTGATGGCTGCAAGTCAAGGTGAGCTACTTGGATTGTCGTCACCATGACCTGATTAAAATCAGGTAACGAGAACCAAGATTGTATTTGAATGAGACTGCTTCAGCGTAGGAGCGCAGAGTGAGTGAGTTAATATTTATGTTTAATGAGCAATATTCCGGCAATAACAGCCGGAGGCACCAGAAATTTGCTTCACTCCTTGTACTCATGTGGGGAATCCAACCCGAGTCTTCGGCCTGACGAGCAAACGCTTTAACCGCTAGGCTACCCTACCGCCACGTTAAAGGCTCCGCTGATGCTATGGGGGACTTTCAATGGACAGTAGAACATAAACTTTGCGATCCTGCGATTAACATTAATCTATGACTACAGTGAGTGGACGTGTTATGTTAACCGCCGCATTGAAAGGTATTTCAGCTATATCAGGGAGTGTCAGCTAGCTTAATGCGGGAGGGAAGCCCGAAGTAATGCATGTCTTAGACGTTAACCGTATTGTTAAAATCCGCGGTATGGTGATCATACACAGTGATTTGACCCCACGATCGTGGGATCATTACATCTCTAAGAGACTTAATTCTGTTCAACTCAGGCATTTATGTATTTGCTCATTGAGAATATGTGGTAAATCTGTAGATTGGGAAGAAACTTCGTATTTACGCATTATCGAAGCGGTGCAAGTCCAATACAAAAAGAAAGCAGTCTGTGTGAAGAGGGGGTGGTGGGGTAGCCTAGTGGTTATAGCGTTCTCTCGTCACGCCGGAGACCCGCCCCACATGGGTACAATGTGTGAAGCCCATTTCTGGTGTCCCCCGCCTTGATATCGCTGGAACATGGCGTAAAACCATACTCACTCACTAAAGAGGGCTTCAGACAGATATGTCTGTGTGAAGCTTGGTTTTATATGTCTGTACACAGAAATGATTCGTGGTGTGCGGTTGTTTGCGTTAAGTATTGAATAAACATACTTTTCAGTCATAAAACCATTGATATATACCACTCGAAACAAGTTAAAGAACACTCGGTTCTTTCCTATTACTATAGTTTATAATATGCCATGGAATGCCAGATTCCGCATTTCAAAGTCGTAACAGTATTCAGGAATTGGTTTGATCAGCTTTTATCAGGACTTCCTCTATATTTATGTTTCGTGCACAGTTCTGTATATTGGCATTTGATGACTGAGTGGAGCTGGTCCTACTTGTTACAGGTTCAGCTTCCTCCTGCCCAAACTGAACCCCGACGATGTTGTGGACGGCATCATGGACGCCATGTTGTGTAACTCCGCCATCGTCATCCTCCCCAAGATTCTTTACGCCTTCATAGCGCTCAAAGGGTATGTATAGCATGGCTCAAAGGGTATGTATAGCTTGGCACAAAGGGTATGTATAGCATGGCTCAAAGGGTATGTATAGCATGGCTCAAAGGGTATGTATAGCATGGCTCAAAGGGTATGTATAGCATGGCACAAAGGGTATGTATAGCATGGCTCAAAGGGTATGTATAGCATGGCTCAAAGGGTATGTATAGCATGGCTCAAAGGGTATGTATAGCTTGGCACAAAGGGTATGTATAGCATGGCTCAAAGGGTATGTATAGCATGGCTCAAAGGGTATGTATAGCATGGCTCAAAGGGTATGTATAGCATGGCACAAAGGGTATGTATAGCATGGCTCAAAGGGTATGTATAGCATGGCTCAAAGGGTATGTATAGCATGGCTCAAAGGGTATGTATAGCATGGCTCAAAGGGTATGTATAGCTTGGCACAAAGGGTATGTATAGCATGGCTCAAAGGGTATGTATAGCATGGCTCAAAGGGTATGTATAGCATGGCACAAAGGGTATGTATAGCATGGCTCAAAGGGTATGTATAGCATGGCTCAAAGGGTATGTATAGCATGGCTCAAAGGGTATGTATAGCATGGCTCAAAGGGTATGTATAGCTTGGCACAAAGGGTATGTATAGCTTGGCTCAAATAGTATTATAGCTTGGCTCAAAGGGTATGTATAGCTTGGCTCAAAGGGTATTATAGCATGGCCCAAAGGGTATTATAGCATGGCTCAAAGGGTATTATAGCATGGCTCAAAGGGTATGTATAGCTTGGCTCAAAGGGTATGTATAACATGGCATAAAGGGTATGTATAGCTTGGCTCAAAGGGTATGTATAGCATGGCTCAAAGGGTATGTATAGCTTGGCTCAAAGGGTATGTATATCACATGGCTCAAAGGGTATGTATATCACATGGCTCAAAGGGTCTGTATATCACATGGCTCAAAAGTTATGTATATCATATAGCTCAAAGGGTATGTATATCATATGGCTCAAAGGGTATGTATATCATACGGCTCAAAGGGTATGTATATCATATGGCTCAAAGGGTATGTATAGCATGGCTCAAAGGATATGTATATCACATGGCTCAAAGGGTATGTATATCACATGGCTCAAAGGGTATGTATAGCATGGCTCAAAGGGTATGTATAGCATGGCTCAAAGGGTATGTATATCACATGGTTAAAAGGGTATGTATAGCATGGCTCAAAGGGTATGTATAGCATGGCTCAAAGGGTATGTATAGCTTGGCACAAAGGGTATGTATAGCTTGGCTCAAATAGTATTATAGCTTGGCTCAAAGGGTATGTATAGCTTGGCTCAAAGGGTATTATAGCATGGCCCAAAGGGTATTATAGCATGGCTCAAAGGGTATTATAGCATGGCTCAAAGGGTATGTATAGCATGGCTCAAAGGGTATGTATATCACATGGCTCAAAGGGTATGTATAGCATGGCTCAAAGGGTATGTATAGCATGGCTCAAAGGGTATGTATATCACATGGTTAAAAGGGTATGTATAGCATGGCTCAAAGGGTATGTATAGCCTGGCTCAAAGGGTATGTATAACATGGCATAAAGGGTATGTATAGCTTGGCTCAAAGGGTATGTATAGCATGGCTCAAAGGGTATGTATATCACATGGCTCAAAGGGTATGTATAGCATGGCTCAAAGGGTATGTATAGCATGGCTCAAAGGGTATGTATATCACATGGTTAAAAGGGTATGTATAGCATGGCTCAAAGGGTATGTATAGCATGGCTCAAAGGGTATGTATAGCTTGGCACAAAGGGTATGTATAGCTTGGCTCAAATAGTATTATAGCTTGGCTCAAAGGGTATGTATAGCTTGGCTCAAAGGGTATTATAGCATGGCTCAAAGGGTATGTATAGCCTGGCTCAAAGGGTATGTATAACATGGCATAAAGGGTATGTATAGCTTGGCTCAAAGGGTATGTATAGCATGGCTCAAAGGGTATGTATAGCTTGGCTCAAAGGGTATTATAGCTTGGCTCAAAGGGTATGTATATCACATGGCTCAAAGGGTCTGTATATCACATGGCTCAAAAGTTATGTATATCATATAGCTCAAAGGGTATGTATATCATATGGCTCAAAGGGTATGTATATCATACGGCTCAAAGGGTATGTATATCATATGGCTCAAAGGGTATGTATAGCATGGCTCAAAGGATATGTATATCACATGGCTCAAAGGGTATGTATATCACATGGCTCAAAGGGTATGTATAGCATGGCTCAAAGGGTATGTATAGCATGGCTCAAAGGGTATGTATATCACATGGTTAAAAGGGTATGTATAGCATGGCTCAACGGGTATGTGTAGCATGGTTCAAAGGGTATGTATATCACATGGCTCAAAAGGTATGTATATAACATGGCTCAAAGGGTATGTATATCACATGGCTCAAAAGGTATGTATATCATATGGCCCAAAGGGTATGTATATCACAAGGTTCAAAGGGTATGTTAATCACAACGTTCAAGTGGTACGTCTAGCACACCGTGCAAACGATACGTATATCACAACTTACGAATATTACAAGTTTCTCTCAGCAACTACGTCGAACATTGGACCAGTGTAGATCCGTGGTAGAATATGTCTTTAACAACCCATGCTTGTCGTAAAAGGCAACTATGCTCGTCGTAAGAGGCGACAAACGGGATCGGGTGGTCAGGCTCGCTGACTTGGTTGATGCATGTCATCGTATTCCAATTGCGTGGATCGATGCTCATGATATGAGGGTAACGCTATTTTTCAGGGCATTATCATTTGCAGAAGCCCGATGTCTTCTATCAACTGCCCGACGAAGGATAATGGCCCGTCGTCAAGCAATAGGAGGGCATTATCAAGTTACAGTGGCCCGCTCATTTCTGATAACATGCGGGCGGGTTAATGATAATTCTATCCATTTTAGCTATAATGTTAATTACTGGTTTGTCTGGTCCAGACTCGATTATTTACAGACCGCCGTCCTATAGCTGGAATATTGCTGAGTGTGGCGTTTAAACAATAAACATCACATCATTCACGTCGTACATTGTGACAACATCTGTTAAGGCATGCTCGTACGAAACGTATGGAACGGTTGGTCGGGCTCTTCGAATCGGTTGCTTGCGTGTCATCGCACACTGACTGCGCGGGCATTACTCATAATATCAATCACTGAACTAGATTCGATTATTGACAACTCGCCGTCATAAAGCTTGAATATTGCGGCGTTAAGCAACAACAGACAAACCTTTCTGATAATAGCTTTCATTGTAGACTTGTAAACAGTTAGGCGTCGGCGTAGACCATCAGTCAGTGTCACATGATCAAAGTCTCGTTGTACATGTTATACGTTGGGGCAACTCTGTTTCATCTGCTGGCCCCGATCGAGAAACCGCTATGAATTGTATTGCTCACTTAAACGGAATTTTCTTTTCTCTTGCAGCATTCTTCCAATTAAAGTAGTGTTCCTATTGTGTGACTTTATGGGTGTAAACTCGATGATGAATACCTTCAAAGGACGAGGGAAGGAACAATAACATTACTAGCCTCCAGACGCTCAGTCATCAAAATCGGAACCGACGAATCTGTTCACTTGACCTCGATAGGGGCCACGCTTCTACCAGTACCAGCCCACACTGAACCAAAGCATTAGCAATCATTGTCTCGTGTATTCATGAGTGAGCCAGACGTTCTAAATGTGTTGAAGTATCTTGAAGAGATTGTGATAGCCGGTGTCTTTGTGTAGGCCATATACATATATTTAAAGGGACTCTTCGAGCAAACGTTTGAGTCTTTCCGAACCTTGGCCTGTTTAGACAACCTACTCCTCACAATCTATTCGTATTTTCTGTTTTAGGAGTCGCTGAATCTATAATTAATTGAATATTTTATTAAGGCATTATTAATCACAAAACGGGAGAATAAGCACAGGATGCATATCTCACCCTGACCTTTTAGCTCACCTGACACATCATAAACTGATAGAATGCGTAATGAAGAAATCATGAGAATCAGCTGATTCCGGAAGTAGAATCAACGAAGGAACACTGGAGTGATTTCTCCGACTGAAACCATGTTATAGATGCTGTATAATTTCTCCATAATTTTGCACAATGACCTATAGTTGCGTCAGTTTTACTTTGCCAGAACGAATGGCCAGTGAAATCCTGGCTCAGAATCAACCGCAACAACAATAGCATGACGAGATCATAATAGTTTAAACATGATTAGAAATTATGGATCTTACATTTTCTAAATACCACAACACAGCAGCCTAACATTGAGCAGAAGAACAAACAGCTGACATATATTGAAATGTTGTGTGGGCTAAATGTAACAAATGTTTGTGTTATTTATACACTATCTGCCGATTTAATATAGGGCAAAACAGAAAATAAAGAAACTAGGGGGATTTAAAAAAATTATAAACCATAGTATTCTATGAATTGTCAAATACATGAAGGACATTTACCATGACATTAACACACCGGTATGAAAGCGTATAACTTAATCTTTAAAAAAAACCCGTTCTTATGCTTGTCAACAGGATATATATGATTATGATTTCATATTAAGCCAACAGCCGAAACTATTATTCTTTCCAGAACACGTCTAAGACCTGCATTACTTCAGGCTTTCCCCCCACGTTAAGCTGAGACGCCGTGATATAATTGGAATAAAGTTAAAATCGGCGTTAAATAGAGAATCTCACCCGAGTGTCTTTTGATATCAACTATATCAACACGAGTTGATAAAAGTGGAAAAATTCCGAGGCTTGCCGAGGATTTTTGCAACTTTTATCAACATGTGTTGATATATTTGATATCAAAAGACACGAGGGTGAGATTTTATTTATCATCCAACATCATTCTTTCAACTTTTTCAATTTGTAGACAGTAATTAGCAGTGTCTTCAGTGTAAAAAGTACTGAAAACAGCTTCAGTAACAGAGCCATTAGTGATGTCATTTGATTGTGACGTCATGGTAACCAGTGACGTCACAATGGTCTGCAAAGCATTGTGATGTAATTTCATTGCAGCGATATCTACAGTGTAGATATCGCTTGATCTCATCTCATCTTTCTAGAACGCCCAGCTGGAGTGACTCTATAGTGACACGCGGTCAGTGATAAAACATGATTGTGTATACATGACCTGCTGTGAGAGCGAACGTGTGGACTAGAGGTCTCCGGCATCTCATTTCGCAGTACAGAGTTTCTAAGACGTACGAGAGCGCTCGGGAGGCCTTTTGGTTAAAGCGTTCGCTCGTCACGCCGAAGACCCGGGTTCGATTCCGACATAGGTACAATGTGTGAAGCCCATTTCTGGTGTCCCCCGCCGTGATATTGCTAAAAGCGGCGTAAAACCATACTCACTCACTCACTCTAAGACGTATGAGGATCCACCGGTCATGACTTCGAACCCAAGGTTCAGTCTTAGTATGATCTCTAGTCCCTCCCCTACATTACGCCGACACGCCACTGTAACTTAAAAAACTGTTCCAAGATGCGTTAACCCCCTGGATGCCAGAGGGACATATATGTCCTTCCTCTACAGCCCTCACTTTGAAGTCGAATAAAATTCAAAATACATCACCCACACAAATACACTTCACAGTTTTGAATAAGGTGGGAAATTCCCTGTTCTGTGTTATCATCCACTGCCATTTTAGGCCAAGCACAATTATTGAAAATGACCTCTGAAAATTAGGTACATCGTAAATGTCGCCATTTTTTACACATTACTAAATCACCACTCACGGCGTTATTTACAGCATGTTTTGAAATCTAAATTTAGGATATTTACTCGGAGAAATGAATTTCAAAAATAGTATATTAGTGATCACGGGTATCTGTCTTTTATGAAATCACCAATGATCATTCCAAAACGTCTCCGATAACCCGAGAATCGTTTCGAATGTTTTGGAAAATACGCAAACACGAACGCCGAAGTGAACTTTCCGCCATATTGGATAGTGTTTACAAAATCACGTTTCAGGTACACCGGTTATGAGGCGCCTGTAACATCACGTATATTTCAAACTTAGCTGCCATACACACATCCTTGAATTCCTCATATATTTTAGATGCAAATGACCAATGGTCTTTGTCACCAATACAAAGTGGCTGGATGAAATCAAGCAAAATATGTTAGGTGTGAAAACGAACGCTGTGCTCGAAAAACTGCACTTGTTTGAAATGTAAACAAAGCAAAATACAGATTTTACACAGTGTAGCATTTTCTCCTATTTTGAGCTATCCATTCGTCTAATCTTTCAAGACATTGGCTCAACATTTTCAGAATATGCACGGGAAGAGAAAAGTAGGAAAAATTAGGGTATTCAAAATAGATACATTGCAATGATTTGATATTTTCAACAGATACTGTCAAAGTTACCGTCCTGTGTGACGCCATGACTGACGCAAAATCACGCACAACGACAACGGTATTTATCAGAATTTCTGCCTATTTCCGTTTGTTTCAATGAAAATTATAACAACAAATAACAGCCCATAGATTGTCAGAATGTTTCTGACTACTTACATGTCACATTTATGTATATACGATCCCTGAATCAACGAAAGTCCCCTCGTAAAATCCCGTGCACTGTTGACAGTCAACACACCATTTTGTAAAAGTCGGTCACAGGTAGTGATGTCATACGTCAACACTGTTGTACATATTTGGTAATTTCTTTGAGGTGAAGGTCCTTGAATGAGAGTGCACACGATCATTGTATCATGCTGTTTACAGTTTCAATTATGATGTAGATTTTGCATATGTTTTATACATTTTTTCACACAATTAATCTCCCTTTGGATATTTGTCAATGTTCAAAATGATATCATACGCAAATATAAGCCACAACATGTATGAACGAACCTTTGGTAATCTCCTGTTTGTTTGAACATTGTTTACATAACAATTGATAGGTTTTTAGTGTCAAATACGATATTTCTTTCCTTTGGACAAGTGTTACAAGATGAAGTGTAAATGTAACTGCAGCATGTACGTATTTCTTGGGATGTGTAATATTCAATGTCATAAGTTCATATAATCAATGTCTTTGAAGAGCTGTTTCATTTTATTTTATAACTAAAACTGAATAGATCTGTTACTTTAACAAAATGGATAATATTTTTCGTAAAAAGATATGCACACATTTCTGAAAGAATTGTCTTGGTCTTGGAATTGTTTGATACACAGAGCAGCGATAGCTAACGATTCGCCAGGTGCGTGTTAGCCACAAACAATTTACGAATTATTCCTCTTGTTTTGCATTATATAATCAATGGGTTCATTCTTTTTTCAATATTGTGATCACAGGATATTAAACTGTTCACTTTATTTCTCCAGGAATTGTAAAATGTATAAGATTAAACCCATGCCAAGTACCCTAGCTGTTGGTTCAACCGTATACGATTATCCTGATAATTCTATACCAATAGAGCTTTCTTCGCATCTTATAGTGTGTAATTCTGAGACGAGATGAAGAGAAATAATAACAATATCTGTCCAATATTGAATATAATTTGGTTGTTTTGAAATATTCTTTTGGGTATTTCATTACGTAAATTGATGCCAAACAGGTGCGTGTCTTGTCCAATTAAGACACACGATAAACTAGCTAATTGTTTACATATTCAAGACATTATTTAATTGGTGAAAGCAGTCATTTTATGTTGTGTAGAAAAAGCGTCAAATTACGTTTTATACATCGAGATTTTCCATATCATGAACGAAAATTAGGGGAGATATATATTAATCAAAATACCAGAGTCATCTTTCTCCGACGTTATCAAAGACATAAAAACAGCCATGACGTTAAAAAGAACGGTGTTATTGTTTTGGGTTATTTCATTACATTTGATGATAAGGCTAGTGCTCCATTAATAATGGTGCAACATTAGTCAAATTACACTTACACATTCAGGAGAATGTTGGAATCTAAGGACTTAGTTATAGGTTAGATAGGGCCATCCATTTCTCTTTTACCACTTTTTTATGAAGCACGATTTCATCATTTCTTATGGGTTTTTTTTTACAACTAAACGTATACAGTTTCTTTATCGATATTTGTGTTGGAATAGTTTGGTTCCTCGTGAACAAAACACCACGAAAATATATTATCCTTACCCACAGCTAATTCTCACCAAGTGACCTGAGTTACAATAAACTAGTGCTAAGCTTAGCGGAGCTATGCCCCTTTTTCTTTATGCGTGTGTAACCTTTCTGTCGCCTTTTGACGTCATAGAGAAAAATCAGTTTTCGTCATTTACGGCAAGCTATTTTTGGCATTGCATGTTTGTCGTTATACATACGCATATAACTCCATTTGGTATATAGTTATGTCGTTCAGATATTAGGCAGTATTTTGTTCGCTCACAGATTCTGTAAAGCTTGTAAATAAAAAAAATCGTCGCACAGTACTTTTATCGGTGTACGATAAAAAGCGGAGAAATTTACTGTTTTTAAAGGAAGAAAAAATTCTCGGGCAACACTTAGAAGTGTATTTTTTTAAAAATCGGTTAAATATTTGCATTTCACTTTACACCATCAAATAGGAAATTTTATATTCTCCACCTCTGCGTAATTTTATAGCCAGAGGTAGATCCAGTGCCGCGTGAGCGCAATTCTCGCACAACCTTCACTTTTCCGATCTTAGGAAAATGTGCGTTAGAAAAAAAACTCGGCATCCAGAGGGTTAACGCACTCAATCACACACTGAACTACATATTAATTTATATTTTAAATATATACATCGACTACTGTTTTTCTTCTGGAAAGTGAATATTTATGTCTTAATAAATCTTTGTAACGAGCCAAGTTTGTTTTTTATTCCCCTTGACGAGAAATAAACCATGAAGTCTCACACGTTGGAAGATGGCGTTGCTTGGTCACTTATTATTACCTGCTGAAAGACGTCAGCTTGTCTATTAACGCCTCCAACAGCGCTGCGTCAATCGGCCTGCTGGTCGTCTTCTGTTACATTAGTGGGCTGGTTTCGCTGACAAGTTCCTGTCGGCTTCTTGTCACTATATTAGCAGAATATTAAGACCATTAGCATTTTTAAGTTCAACGTCGCGTTGACGTCATCGAGTGTTTTAATACGGTCGAGCCTCTGGGAGGTACTAACTATGTACAGGTGTACGTGAATGCATGGCAACTAGACAATACAAAACCCGATAAATCAATACTTACAAGCAATTTCTTCGACAATGTGTGATAAATATGTTTGAATAATAATCTGCCATAGTACCACTTTCTGGGTATATATATAAATAAGTGTGGCATGATCTTTTCTTTTCCAGATGCATACGTAATAAAGACCTTTTACCCCGTCAGGATTATTGTGGGTACCTTCCGCCAGTTTCATTGTGAGGTCCTTTCCAGAACTGTTCCCCGGTACCCCGCCAGTATCATTGTGAGGTCCTTTCCAGAACTGTTCCCCGGTACCCCGCCAGTATCATTGTGAGGTCCTCCAGAACTGTTCCCCGGTACCCCGCAAGTATCATTGTGAGGTCCTCCAGAACTGTTCCCCGGTACCCTGCCAGTATGGTTGTAAGGTCCTTTCCAGAACTGTTCCCCGGTACCCCGCCAGTATCATTGTGAGGTCCTCCAGGACTGTTCTCCGGTACCCCGCCAGTATCATTGTGAGGTCCTCCAGGACTGTTCTCCGGTACCCCGCCAGTATCATTGTGAGGTCCTTTCCAGAACTTTTCCCCGTG